TTGGTTTGGTTTGGTTTGGTTTTTTTTTCCCCAGTTAAACCTAACCTGCTTGATAAAAATACATGTCTCAGCACAAGATGCTAAGGTCACAATGTGTGACAAGCTCACACTACATCTACAGTTTTTTCTGGTTTGCAAACAACAATAAAAACTCCAACCCCCAGGCAGCACCGTCCTTGTTTCTCCTATTCTCTTTTTTCTTTCCTCTTGCCTACAAGGAAGGAGAAAGAGCTTCTGTAGTAGTCATAGCTTCGGTCTACACTTACTTGTATTTTATGCCAAGCAGAACTATTATCACCTCTTTTCATCTCCTCTAAGAGACTGCAATTTTCTATTTAAAAAAAACCCAAAAAACAAAAAAAGTGCCATTGTAAAAAGCTATTTACCTTGCTATTTTATGATGCAGGAGGAGCAGATAAAGAGTGAGACAGATTATCTTCATGATGCTGTTTCTGTTCAAAACCTGGAGGCCTGCTTCATGTGGTATTCTATTCTAAGGAACCTGGTTGGCAATCACATTCCTTACACCTATTTGTTCCACTTCCAGTTTCACAGCTCTGGAAGGCTGGGTGTAGTTGGATTTTTTTCCTCTTAGCTGGAATTCATAGAATCACAGACTGGTTTGGGTTGGAAGGGACCTGAAAGCTCATCTAGTTCCACCCCCACATGCCAGAGGTAGGGACACCTTCCACTAGACCACGTTGCTCAAGGTCCCATCCATCCAATTTTAGATTTGGAAAATTTCTGAAGCTGTGTGAGGAGACTGTGAAACAGTCCTACAAGCTGCAGTCCTAGCCTTGCCCAGTAAACTGCCTTTTCCTTTTGGATTGTGTTCCGACTGATCTCTGAGGCAACATGGAAGTTTCTTATCCCTACAGACAGAACCTGGAAAAGCAACAAGACAAACCTTATCTTACCTCATTGCACAGAAGATGGTTTTCTGCAGAGTCCTGACTCTGCTCAATGCCAGTATTGGTAACCTGTGTTTTTTCCCTTCTCTCTTCAGCAACAGGATGTCAGGCAAAGGTGTCCTGTGAAGTCCATGAGTTTGGCTTGTCAAGCCCTACAACAGTATGCTTGAGCTTGCATTTTTATTTCCATTTTGTTACTCAACTATGCATGCATGGACTTGTTTCTGAGATTTAATTTTGCTTTTGTCACTGCCTTTAATAAAGTGGTAGTTTCAGCCAGCTATGAGCTTAGGCTTTGGTAACGGGGTACAGGAACCAAGGTACTGCCAGGGAAAAGTAACACATAAAAGTCATGCTAGTTTCAGTGTCACACCTGCTTGTGATAAACTTCACACAGTGTGGAGTTTAGACTAACCTTAGCGAGTCCCTTCAATGAGATTCACCTCCTCAAAAGAGTTCTTTGGGCTAACAGTTATGTATCTTCATGCCACATCTTCATGCCATGTGCCTGTCCTCATCCTAGTAGTTGAAATTCAGGAAGTGAATCAATATTTAAAATTCAACTCACTGATCTAGTTTGGTTTGGTTTGGTTATGGCACTTTGTATCCCCTGGAAATGGAAGGGGTTTAGACTTTACAAGAGTAGAAAACACAATGATCTTGAAAAGCAAGTCCAGCGCTCCTAGGAAAGGGAAGGTCAGACCACTGAACACCATGTGAAATAATCAAATCATGGGACAGAGATGATCAGACAGCAATGGAAGCCAGTGTGGGAATGCAAAGGAGCCATACTTCAGCCTGCACCTATTTCTGACTCATGTATTCCCAGTACAGCTGTAATAGTCTCAGACAGAGATAATAAAGTAATAAAGGTAACGTGTTAGATACAGAAATGCAAATAGGGAGACCTTAGAGCAGCCTTCCAATACCTAACGTATCCAACACGAAATCTGGAAAGGGGTTTTTGACAAGGGCAGGTAGTGACAGGACAAGGGGGAATGGCTTTAAACCGACAGAGGCGAGACTGAGATGAGACATTAGGAAGTTCTTCCCTGTGAGGGTGCTGAGGCGCTGGCACAGGGTGCCCAGAGAAGCTGTGGCTGTCCCATCCCTGGCAGTGTTCAAGGCCAGGCTGGATGGGGCTTGGAGCAACCTGGTCTAGTGGAAGGGGTCCCTGCCTGTGGCAGGAGGTTGGAACTGGGTGAGTTTTAATGGTTTATTACCCAAACCATTCTGTGATTCTACAATTGTATGACTATGAATATCTCTGATGAGGCCCCCTCAGTAATTTTATGACAGAACTGTATGGATACAGAGAATAAATCACTTACCTTAAGAAGAGGAGACAGAGTAAAAAGAGAAGAAAGATTCAGTGTGATGGGAAGTGACTCAATCTAGGTAACTATCCAGCTAGAATGTAACAGACAGACTTGCAGAGGTGGTGAGAGAAATACCTTTGTCACATTCTGACAGCTCTTCCAAGAGGTTTTCTCAAGTGGATGAGGGTAGTAAAGACCTGCCCTGCACCCATGTCACGGCTCTGGGATGTGGTGAGCAAAGAAGCCCTCCCAGGTCTGCCCCCAGCTTTCCAACCACTCCCAGTTTCACCCAGTCTGCCTGTAAATGGTACAGCCATGAAGATGCTTCTGCATCTAACATGGCTGTAAAAGTGGTGCTTATGACCAGACCGTGGGTGCAGTTTACAGAACAACTTTTCTTTACCTCAGTTTACAAAGTAAAGCCACCAGCTTTAATTCTCCCTAAAAACCAAAACGATTGAGGAAGTGCACGATTCAGAGTGGCTTGGTGCAAATCTTTGCAAAGTAACAGACACAAAAATCGAAATAATTAAAATTATACACACATGTAAAACAAAAGAAATTCAAGTTAAAACCAGAACTGAATTTCTATTAGCCCGAGAGATGATCCAAGAATGTGTCAGGAAATAAATAAAGCATTCTAATTTTCACCATAAAAGAGGTGCTGCTCACTGATCCAAACAGTTTGGGTAGTTACAGAAAGCAAATGGGTTAGAGCAGAAATGGAAAAGAAGAAAAGCATTCATAAGAGTGAACTAAAATGCTGCAAGACCAGCATGGTCTACTGGGCTTGGCTGTCACCACAGAGACTCTGAAGCTCCACCACAGTGTATGGCCACCTTAGGGCAGATTCCATCAAATAAATTGGCCTGGTCACTCCAATTTATGAATAGGAGGGCAATTTATCCTAGAATCCATCTGAAGGGAAGACTGCTTAAAACCCCATCTTCCTGGCCTTTACTGGCCTGCACACACTCTGAGGAGGAGGCAGCCAACACAACTAAATCTCACTTCTTCAATATGTAAGCACAGATGGTGATCACAACACTTGGCATTTCCACAAAGGCCAGTAGTTAGGGTGCCTTAGGTGGCTGCAAGAAAAATCAGGCCCTCTCAAGTATCTCTTTCAAGATTTGCAAACCCCACGAGACAAGGCAATACCCTTGTTTACAAAGGTAGCGTGACTTGTGCTCGTCGCTGGTATTTCTGATGCTTTGTTACCAAATAATAATCCGCTGCTAAGGCCAAATCCTGACAGGTTGGAGCTGTACTTTTGATACAGCCAGTGGAGCAGGAGATGCTTAATGCCCAACAGAAGCAGGGCAAATTCTGCAGTTAATGTCATAGCATGCAAAAAACCCACCAAAACCAAACATCCTGAAGATTCATCCTAACCTTCTGTTTCCTTGCCAAGACAGATCCATTTACAGCCAGTACCACAGCGACTTGATTCAAGTGGCAGTGGTGTTATATCCCTATTTTTAATGGGATTTGACATTTAAGGCAGCATTTTGGTTCACCTCTATGCCTGTAATTACACTCGCAAATCTGCTTAGCAAGACATCGGCAGAGCAACCCAGGGGGTTGCTCAAACAGATGGGTTCTGTTCCCATAGAAGCAGCATTTGAGTACCAAGTGATGCTACAGAGCAGACACTGCAGGCTGCAGGGCCTGGCACAGACACTTGCAAACTGGAACCACTCATAATCTTCACAATGAAAAGCAAGACTGCAAAGATCTTCACTTGATCTTAAAAGCAACACTGCGCTGACCAGATACCACTGGAGGTCAGGAGCACTTCATGAATACACTACCAGGACTTCTTTCTACTACCTGCTCGTTATCTGTGGTTTCACAAGTGCTAAAAGTACCACAGCAGCCCAAGGATGAAATCATCTGGAATCACGATGGGCCACTGCTGAGGAAGCACCTTTATGTCTCCCACACAAGTGTGGGCTCTGCCCAGTGTCTCCTTCCCAAAGGAATCCATTTGGATTTCTCCTTTCATTGTAGCCCTCCAACAACAACATTTTGAGAGCAAATTAATGCCAAATGCCATGATGCTCAGGACTATATATTCCCACAAATTATACGCTCACCCATCCTCTACACCCAATTGACACCACCACCTCCAAAGATGTCACTGGAACCAAATACACTACATATGAAGTACTCAGCTGGGATCTTTGGATCTGGGGCAAAAAAAAGTTGGATCTGGATTTTTCAGCCAGGCCTTTGGGAGGCAAAGTGAGCTAACTGAGCAGACCTTTCTGTAGGATGCAAACAGTTTCATCCCTGAGTTCAACTTTGAAAGAGAAAAATGACATCCTCAGCGATCCCTGGCGCCAGGAGCAAAGAGGACATTTAGCACAGAGCACTCTGCTGCAGGAGCAAAGAGCAAACAAGTAGCACAAAGCTGGGAGAGATGGCGAAAACCAGAAAGAGGCTAATTTGTATCATAACAAAGAAACAGAAGGAAACCTGAGACCAAAGGTTTTGGACTAGTAGAAGGAGAAAGCTTAGAGAAGGTAGACTGTAGACAGTGAAACCTTTGCAGCTGTCAGTGCTCATTTGGGAACAGCCTGGTACCTTCACCAACAACGATCCCAGGCAGGCAAGAAAAACAAATCCAGAGAGTACTCCTAAAGAAACAGAAGATCCCTCAAGGACATTTCAATGACACGAGCAAAGTTTGATTTTTTTCCTTTTTTTTCCCAGCAGGGATGACACGACACACTGAATATACATAGAGTTCTCCTCAGCAAGACTTCTAGCTGACCGATGTGCAGTTCAGCTCAGCAGGGTCCTGCCTACCTGCTGCCATGACTCCCTCTGGCCCATCAGGAATACTGGGCTCACTGGAGCACTGCCTGTGGTTAAAACTGGGCTGCAGGAGGAGGCATTTATCAGCACTGTCCGACTCCTCAATCACAATTCCTGTATGCATCATGGAGGCCATTGCCAGGAGCTGAATATCTGAGTGAGCATTGGCAACAGTGTGGCGGCGGATGCTACCGCATTTCTCCAGGTAAGCCTCGCCCTCCTGCTCTGTCAGCGGGGTCAGGGCCATCTCACCAGGCTGCCGGCTCGTCACCACGTGAGATGAATAATTCGGTGCACCAGTCTTGGGACGGGATCTGGAGTACCGTCTCTCTGGAAGAGAAAAAAGAAGCAGGAAGGGTCAATAGGGCACAGACAAAACATTGTCCCAGCTGCTAGGCTGGCCTTCCCACCTCATTACTACCAGGTTATATGGTAGTTAGGAACTATCTCCTGCTATTACTGGCCTTTGGGAACAGAGAGGGCTCGGTATGGAGCCACAGAATGTCTCACTTCATTACCACCAGATGCTCATTAGTTATGAACTATTAAGTTAGTTATAAACGATCTCCTGCTGTTACTGGTGAGGCCCTGACACAGATTGCTCACAGAAGCTGTGGCTGCCCCTTCCCTGGCAGGGGGAGGTTGGACGGGGCTTTGAGCAACTGCTCTAGTAGAAGGTGTCCCTCCCCATCGCAGTGGATTGGAACTAGATGAGCTTAAGGTCCTTTCTGTGATTCTATGATTACTTCTAGGGGTTTGGGAAGGAGCCACCTCCCATCCTGCTGTATGGCAACAGTGCTGCTTGCCCCTAAGAGAAGTAATCCAACAACTACCAAGTGCAGCAAAGGGGCTTCCTTTAGCATCCTGATGGTCTCCTCTCTTACCCAGCAAGGTGAGGAGCAAGTAGGAGCTCTCATGTGCAGGTTTCCTAAAGCAGCACAAGTAAAGAAACATCCTGTGAGGATACAAGTTGCTATCATCTTCTCTAGAAAATTTCTCACAGCAGATGCCAATAGCTGGTGTCAACATGATATTCCTGATGATTGCATGGCGCTAGCTCTCCAGGTCCCTAGAGAAAGGTGGCTCTGCTAGCATTATCCCACTGTATTTTTTAAAGATTATGCAAGAAAAAGAGCATTTCATCCACTTTAAAACATACCGGGTTTTGGGGCTGGACACTGGCAAGACCTAACAGCACACAGCAACAGCTCACAACACCTAGGGGCAAAGGCACGGAAGAGAAAGGCAGGACTTTTGGAGCACAGGTTTGAAACTCAGACCTAAGATGCAGTCCCCAGCCCTGTATCATGAAGCACCATTTCAATTCTGACACTGACAGCTTTAAGAAAAGCAGGGGTCTGAGTTTGTCCCTTGTCTTGCTGTAATTCAGACTGACTCAGACAGCGCTGCTTTTCACCTGCTGCCTTCTATAGCCATGCAGCACTGCTACATGTCGTTAAACACCTAGTGGTCTATTCCCTAAGCAGCTGATAAATCTGTTCCCTACCTGTCTTCCTATTTCTTACCAAATTCCTTGATGTGCAGGCTCTCATTTCATAAAGCCATAGAATCATAGAATGGTTTGGGTCAGAAGGGACCATCTAGTTCCAATCCCCTGCCACAGGCAGGGACGCCTTCCATTAGACCAGGTCGCTCAAAGCCCACCAAGACTGCAAACCCTAAGAATCAGAGTAACAAAATGCCAAGCAACACACTTGTAACTGAAGTTTTTAAGAGTTTTGGAAGCTTGCATCAGCAAAAGCAGCAGAAAACAATCTATATGTTGCAGAGAGGAAGAGGTGAGCAGCCAGAACTCCACCACTGGCAGCAGCCAAGCTATGACAACACTTCACCCGACTGCTGCCAGTAATATATTCATTGGAAATGGTTCATTTAATGCTTAAGAATATGAGCAAACAGTTATTGGCTGGTTACAGCAAATATACTCTTTAGGTGTCACCTGCATCTCAAGTCACAGCAAGCTGTAGTGTTGGACCTGACCCTTTTCAGGAAAAAATATCCAGATTATTTCTGTGCAACAAAATTAAAATCCTTCATGAGAAGCAGGTAAAAATTAGGCTGAACTCTGAATATTCACTTATTGCTTTATTTTTCACCCTTTACTTTCTTGGCTACAACAGCCTCTTAAGGGAGTTGTCATTCATAGTTTGTCTAGAAATGTTATTTCTATTTTGGTGCATTCTGGCAAGGAACATAAACTGGGAGGAATTTTTAAGGGATTTTTTGCGAGCAAACTCAAATTAGCAGTGATGTCAGGTTAAACACATTAGGTTTAAAACACTGTGTGGTTTTTTATCTTCTTCCCTATTCCCTCTATGGACCTCCCCTGTGAGCTATTCTTGTCCCCTTTCATACCTATGCCTGCTGCATTCCTCTCTCACTTTAAATCAAGTTTAAGATACTTAAAGCCTTATGTGTGTCCACTGCTGTGATCAAACACTGCATTTCCCAACACTTATTTGTCTTAAAGGCTCCAGTCCAGATGGCTGTTTGGCCTCCACAGCATCTCTTGAGAATCAAGCACCTTCAAAGCCCAACAATGTATTTCTAAAAAGCTACTATAGGGAACCTACCGGGCTCCATCATCATTAGAAGCTGCCCAGTGAGAGAAGAAACTGGTTCTGAGAAAGCAAAAAGGTGACAGAAGGAGGGACAGAGGAAGAGAATGAGGTTTGATTAAAAGTGGGACTTAAGGAAAAGAACCAACCACCACAGCAGCACTTTGAATACCAAAAATATTTGCAGAGAAGTGCTGCTCTGCTGTCAGTGTTGTGTCATGCAAACAGAAGTTCATTCTTTCCTCTTGCTCAGCACAGGGTGGAGCAGGGGCAAAAGGCCACTTTGGAAATACACACAAATAATGGCAGCTAAAATAGAAGTAAATACAACTATTTTAAGGCACATAAACTTTACAAGTCAAATTCGTGTGAAAATTTGTTTTTGTCACTAACGACTTGTTCAGCTGGTGGAAATCCAGGATGGTTGCAAACTTCAGCCAAGCTACCTTCCAAACTATCCCAGCAGCATGTAGGTGTCCATAAACAGCAAAGCAATCAAATTAGTCAAAGCTCAACTTTTAAGCTCCTGGTCAGGTCTACAAATCAATGCTGAACTGTATAACCATGTTCACTTGCATAAAAGATATTTAATTGTGTAACAACCACAAGAACAAAAAGGCTGAGCCATAGTTAGCCTGAAGTGATGCCATGAGTTTGTTAGAGGCACAGGTCATCGGAGTCCTGGTAAGTCCTTTGAGTGCAAGGCCATCTTCTCCCCTGTACTGCTAAGGTGTACTACAAGACAGCTTGCTACAATCTGCACCTACACAAAGGCTAAAGCTTATAAAAACAGAGGAAGACTAGAGCTTTCTTTATTTGTTCTATTTAAATCTTCTCAACTATCAAATCAGTATCACTACACCCATTTCTTAGCTAGCCAATCTCTTCTGGCCGGCCACGTGTGATAGCAGAGCTCCTGGATCATGTGTGGAGGAGTTTTTACACTCTAAGTATCCGCTTCCTGAAGTGAAGTGCCAGTTGTCT